AGAGAACCAGACTGAAAAGTGGAGCCTGAAGATGTGATTGAACTGCCGAAATCTCATGTTAAACTTTAACGAATGAGGAGTTAGTTACTCTTATGGATGAGCAAATAAAGTGATTTCTTGAGATGGAATCTACTTCTGGTGAAGATGCTTTGAAGATGACAAAGGATTTAGAATATTACATAAACTTATTTGATGAAGCTGTACAGACTGTGAGAAGATTAACTCCAATTTTGAGAGAGTTTTATTTACTGTGGGTATAATGCTGTCAAATAGCACTACATGAAATAATTCATGAAAGGAAGTGTCAATTGTTATCTTAAGAAATTGCCAGGATACCTCAACTTCAGCAACCACATCATCCTGATAAGCTAGCAGCCATCAACATTAAGGCAAAACCCTCTACCAGCAAAAAGATTATCACTCAGTGAAGGCTCAGATGATGGTTAGTATATTTTAACAACAAAGTGTTGTTGTTTTTTTTTTTTAACTAAGGCATGTACATTATTTTATTAGACACTAGAAGCCTAATGCACAAATTCGTGTGTGGGTGGGATCCCTTTAACTGGCCGGCAAACCGGCTGGGGTGAGGGACCATGGAAGGTTGGCTGTGGCTCCTGCATTGAGCGCCTACCCCTTGGTGGTCAGTGTGCATCATAGCTACCGGCCGGTCATCAGGTTGTCTGGCCATAACAGTTGCTTAGGCTTACATAGATAGATAATACTATTGCATACTTAATAAACTACAGTATTGTAAACAAAACTTTTATGTGCCCTGGGAAACCAGAAAATTCCTTTGACCTAATGCATTTTGATACTCACTTTATTGCTTTGTCCCGGAACCCAACTGTGGTATCTCCCAGGTATGCCTGTACTTGCTGTGGTGCCACCCGCTGTGGTCTGCATGCTCTTTGCTCTCATGCCCCAGGTCTTCACACATGCTGTTTTCTTTGCTTGTTTTTGGCCATGCTTTTTTTTTTTTTTTTTTACAGGGAAGACTCCTGCTTATAGTTTAAGATGCACCTCCTCTGATACATTTTCTTTAATTTCCTCAAGCTGAAGGACTTCCATCTATTTAAACTCCCTTATAAATTTGTTTCCCCTTCTGCTCTATAAGCTCTTTATCTTTGCATTCCTAACATGTAGTGAACTGTCTGATGTGCAGTGGGAGCCAAACAATATTTGTTGAATGAATTAATTAATTGATCCCTTAGAGCCCTCCACTTTTAAAAAGTATTTTTTGATCTTTAAAAACCCCTTAAATATATTTTGTTCTGTTGCAAGTGTTAAAACTCATTTGTTAATTTTTTGTCCACTTGCACAGACTTGTAAGGTCTTCTTCTTTAATCCCATCTGTGCTTCTTCATCAGCTAGAAGCCTTTAATGTCCTCTTAACTTAGAAATCTCATGTGAGATTTTATTTTCTGGAGCATTAAAAAAAGTTATTAAATGAGTATAAGACCCCGAGGAGCTGAATTCTTTATACTTCTCCATCCAAAGAAATCCCTAATTAACCCTACCATTTAATTCCCATTTTGACCAGGTTTAAAATTTTAGCATACATAGATATATGAAGCCTTGAACTCATGGTATTACCAGTTAAAATTAATAAAACAACATCACCACAGCCTTTTATTTATAAGGCTGGCATTCATTAATCCCCCTTTTGTTGATGTGCCTACTTATTACATTAAATGTATTCTTTGGGATGTGCCTTAGGAGAAGTGACCTTGCCTTCTGTATCTTCCTTACCTTAAAACTCTATAACCTGCCTTTCTTGCCCCCACCAGCTGCCATAGTACATGATTTTTGTTACCTTCATTTAAACTGTCTTTATCGCAGTTACTTTTTTGGATATCAGTGCTCACTAAAGATCCTATAATTGCCTTCGGCAGAGATAATTAAGCTTAGGGTCAAAAGCCAAAAATATATTTGATTTTTTAAAATTTCAAAGTCCCTGCAGCATTAAAATCACCATAACTTACTGTTAGATATACATAGCCACCATCAGAGTAAAAGAAATAATATTTTTAACTTTAGCTTTCTTTGTAATAATATATGTTCACAGACTTTCTTCTTTCAGAAATTACCTAAATGTTGACCATACCATTCTAGATAAAAAAGTATTTGTTATGTGTATGTCTCTTTAGAGGGAATTATGTCATACATTTTGGTTATACTGTAATGTGCAGAGAATTTTCTTCAGCTCTTTCTGAATACTTGCACTTTTTATTGTTATTCCTCTGAGGAGTTGTGCATCCTTTCAAAACTATAATTTACTTGTCCTTTCAAAACATTAAATATTTTTCACTGAGATCAATGTAGGTAGTGATATAAAAATATAGAGAATATGAAAATCACTAAGACCATCACAGGACAAAGATAGTATTCCTTGGTAAGTTTGTGGAATAAAATAATTCTGTACTCTCTCCATAAGTCTACTCTTTTCCAAGTATATTTGTTTGCTCTTTTTTTTTTTTTATATCCTTACCTTAGGATATTTTTCCATTGATTTTTAGAGAGAGTGTAAGAGAGAGAGGAAGACAGAGAGAAATATCGATGTGAGAGAAACACATAGATTGGTTGCCTCCTGCACGCACCCTGATTAGGGCCCAGGTTGGGAAGGAGCCTGCAACTGAGGTACTTGCCCCTTGACTAGAATCAAACCTGGGACCATTCAATCCACAGGCTGACATTCTATTCACTGAACCAAGCCAGCTAGGCCTATATTTGTTTTCTGATATTCTATTTAACTTTATGTTGGCAAAATATCATTTCCCCCATATTTATAGATGGAAAAGCAGACATTGAAAAAATAGAGGAATTACCCAGCGCAAAGTGCTAATGACAGAGCTAAAACTAGAACTCAGACCAGAAACATAACAAGCCAAGAACAGTCCAGAGTGTCTTTTCTTGGGTAATTAGTATGAACAATGGGTTGACAGCTACTTCTTACTGTCCTCCCCACATCTTGTAAATCAGTTGATATCTCCCAAAGTCTGCATCAAGTAGCAGACAGCTTTTATTTTCAGAAAAGAAGGAACTAAAAATACAGCAGCACAGCCATTTATTAACTACAGGCAACATTATTCCTTGGTAACAGAGTCTTGTGGAAAAAAAAACACAAACACATGTGATTTGAGACTTAGGTTTAGAGCTTAGTTCTTTTTACCAGCCTCTGAGTCTTCTTACTCTAAATATCTATTTAGTTAAACTAGTGCTTAATCACCCCAGGCTTACTGCTTCAAAATTATTGTGATGATCCATAAGATGCTACATCTAGAAACATTTTATAAGCTGTCATTATACAAATATGAGTTTGCATCCATGCATAGCAAATAAGGGAATTCCTTCCGGTGCAGGATAGATAGAGCGTAGTTATTGGGATCTTGGTTTAGCCGTCTCACTGACTTCAGTTACGATATAAGAAATGCCACCATCTAGCTCTGTCACTGGCTTAGGAACTTAGACTCTCTCAACCTCCATTTTCTCATTTTTAAAATGGGGAAAATATTTATCATGAATTTTTCATGCATAAGCAATAGGTAAGGTCCCTTGCGTTAGTTTTCTTTAAAATAAGCTTTCTATTTCTATTAATATTTTTAGATTTTCAGAAAAGTCACACATTTGGTAAAGGGAGTTCCCATCTCCGTATCCCCCGGTTCCCTGCATGGTTGATAACTCTGATTTGCCACCAGGAACAAAACACGGTGACGAATTACTATTGACTCAGGTTTGTGTGGGCTTCACCCGTGTATCCGTGAATAGCTTATTTCTTTTCCAGGATCTAATCCAGGGTCCACATTGCATTTGATTGTCATGTCTCCCCAGCCTCCTCTGGTCTGTGAGAGTTTACTACTTGGTGCCCTTTTTTGTGATCTTAATGGTCTTGAGGAATACTGTCCAGGTCTCGTGCACGGTGTTCCCCAATCTGGTTTTCTTTATTGTTTTTCTTCAGATTAGAATGGCATTTTGGGTTTTTAAAGAGAATACTAGAGAGGAGAAGTCACAGCATGCCTAGGGATGCATGATATCCCTGTGATATCACCCCTGTGACATCGCCAATGAGGTTTACCTTTGTCACTTAGTTAGGTATTGCTTGGCAGGGATTCTCATGGTATCCTAGTTGCTTTTGGCCAGCCATCACTTATACAGAACTCCTCTTCCCTCCCTCCCCACTGCTTAGGATGCTTTTCGTTTATGTTCACTGCAACTGTCATCATAATGGAAATATTTTCTTGACCACCAAGCAAAAGCAGCTTTCTCTTCTCAAAACAGTCCCTATGATGCTTTACTTTTGTCTTTCCTGGATGCATGCATCATTTCCTGAAATAGACGGGTGCATTTGATTACCTATAATACTTTAGAGTGTATCAGTAGGATCCCTCCCCTCAAACAAGAACATAAGCTTCAGGACTATAGGGTCCTTGTAGGATTGCTCACATCTGTATGCTTGGTATCTAGCACAAGGGAAAGCATATGTTAAATGTTCAATATTTGTTGAATAAGTGTCAAAGAAAGAAAAATAGAGGATTGATTTATTAGTATGTAAAAGAGTTGAAAAGAGCAGAATGGTTGGAGGTTCAATTTAGCAACTTGGCTGAATTGTTTAGTTTTAATGAAAAGATTAAATGCAATCATCACCAGCTACGGAAATAGGCAATCATTATCCTTATAATTCAAGCTCTCTTATGATACACTTAAGACTGTGAATGCCAGAGTATGTTTCTGACTTGTAAGGATATGACTGATCGGCTCGGTATTACACATGTGCATCGCTGTGACCCTTATTTGCTGATAGGCTCAGCTTTCCTCCTGTAGAGTTTTAACAGACTCTGAAGGAGGGTAAAACTAATCGATGGCCTGGATTTTAACTTATAGATGACTTCTTAGAGTCTAATATCTTTTTCATGTATATTGACAGAAAAATGAAGCTTCTTTGTATAACTCTTCTTCTCCCATAACTCATTATATGGCACCTCTCTTTTCATTTTCATCCTCAGGACTTAAAGTCTCCAAATCAGAGGGATGAGATAGCTGGCGCCCGGGCCTCATTGAAGGAGAACTCCCCGCTCTTGCATTCAATCTGTTCAGCTTGTCTGGAACATTCTGATGTTGCTTCCCTCAAAGCCAGCAAGGACACAGTTTGTGAAGAAATTCAGAACGCGCTCAATGTGATATCCAATGCTTCCCAAGGCATCCAGAAGGAGCTGGCCCCTCTGGAACCTCAAGCAGCCACCCTGGGGAGTGCCCTCGATGAGCTGGAGGTAAGTCAAGAGAAAGGTGAAGTGTGATTTGACGTCCCAGTTATGAAAATAAACAGAAATGGGTTTTAAATCCATGTGCTGGAGTGTAGAGCATGAGTAAATAAAGACTCAGGAATCCAATCGGATTCGATCATCCTCTTGTATCTTCCAATGAATTGATTAGCAGGAAAATATCCCATCAGTAGACCTCTGAGTCCTTTGCATCTCTGCCAGGATTTAAATTGGGGATTGTTAATTAGATTATAATCATGATTTTATTTTCTATAAATCTATTTATGAAATATAGGATTTATTCATTTCACAAATACTCATTATTACTAGTGTACTTTGTGCTGGGGATATAATAGATGACAATCTACATTTTAAAAGGGAAATACAGGCAAAAATCCAAAAGCAATAAACATAAGTAAGCCAATTGCATAGAATGTTACATTGAGAAAGTGAGATATAACCAAAGGCTTGAAGGCAGTGAGAGAATCAGCAGATGGAGATCCAGAACAGAGGCCTGCAGGGACGCCCAGTGTTGAGGTGACAGATGCTGGGGCTTGGTGCTGAGAGGAAGGCGATGAGTAGATGCTGAGGTCAGAGACCCAGTTGGTTAGGTCAGAAAGGGCTGGACAGGCTTTTAATGATTGCGGCTGTTACATCAGTTTACATGCCATTCATTGTAAGGTTTCAAGCAAAAGAGTGACACGCTGAAACCACACTGTGTGTCAGACCAAAGGGGAACAAAGGGAGAAGCTGAAAAACAGCTTCCAGACAGCCAAGTGCTCCAGTCTCCCTCAGGCAGGAGGTCGCAGGCTTGCATCTTACATCACCGCTTTTCCATTTCAAATTTTAGTTTGGACCGGGGTGGTGTCTGTAAACACTGTACGGAGAGCCAACTAGATTTGACAGAATGGATGTGACCTGTGGGAGGAAGGGAGGAGTTTTACCCGAGTCTCCGGAAGCACCTGCTGGATGGAGTGCGGGATGCAAGGTGTTCTTAGGATGTAATATGTGTAAAGGTAAGAGAAGAAGAGCAAGATTAAGCAGAGGAAGAAGTCTGGACCAGTCAGCAGGGAGTTCTGGAGAGAAGGTTGTTCCTGAGTGCACCTTGTCAGGCAAAAAAGCCAGGCCTATTGCCTCTTTCAATGACCGGAAGGCGTCAAATACCGAAGGAAGTGATAGCTGGGGGCCTGTCTGTTGTCCTCACTCCCCACAGCTGGGCAGGTCCTTCCTGGCAGGAGCATGGGCAGTTCACCTCTGTGTCTGCCACAGATCACTGCGAGGTTCTGTTTTGACTTGGCAACTGGATGGATGAATTTTCATCAGTTATGATGGGGACTTCTGATATTTGAAGCCAGTGTTGAGAAGAAGCCCAGAAACTCAAACTCTATTTTCCAAATGATGTCAAGGATCATTGGCTGCCCACGTCAGACATGTAGCTTCTCAGTGGGGGGGGGCAACATTGGGCAGCACTTAGTGATAAAAGCCTGGTTCCTACCTCAGCTGTGGTTCTTTCTACCCATGTGACCTTAGGAAGTTATTTCATTGGATGACTTAGTTTTCTCTCCAATAAAATGGGGATAAATCAGAGTATTGTTAAAACCAGTGAGAATAACACATGTAAACATGCTTAGAGCCGTGCCTGGGACTTCATTAGTGCCCAGTAAATCTTAGCTCTCATTATCATTAGCGGAGATGACTATTTGGAGGCAGATTCTTCTGTAATTAAGAAATCAATCTGATTAAAATTACTAAGTTTTATTGACACACTAAATTAAACACATAACAGATAATTCCTAATTTTATTACTTTCATGGTAAAAATATTGCTTTATTTCAATTTAGAAACACCTTTTTGTATGCTTTTCCATTGGTTGCATTATTTTAAAAATTATTTTATATATATATTTTATTGATTTTTTACAGAGAGGAAGGGAGAGGAATAGAGAGCTAGAAACATCAATGAGAGAGAGAGACACCGATCAGCTGCCTCCTGCACACCCTCTACTGGGGATGTGCCTGAAACCAATGTACATGGGACTGGAATCGAACCCGGGACCTTTTAGTCCACAGGTTGACGCTCGATCCACTGAGCCAAACCGGTTTCAGCTAGTTACATGTTTTTAACAGGTCACTTCATTTCTAATCCAGCTTTATTCAATTTCTAATTATTGACATCATTGTGAAAATTTATTAAATTTCCAATCATTAGCATCTATGTGAAAATTTTAGGAACTCTTGTCTAAATAGGGTAGAGTCTTTGATAATACCCCGTCATCTTTTTGTTTGCCCTGGGTACTGTGCACTCAGTAAACTTGTCTTCAATAAGAAGATTGAAGACTCCTTGTGGGCAAGACTGTTTCTTACTAATTTTATACCAGTGGTACTACTAGATTGTTAGGTCCCCTATGAATCAAAATGTATCATTTCTTGATAGCTAGTCATTTAATTATTAGAATCCCTTTAAGATAAAGGGATTTTTGTTTTTTTCACAGAAAATTGAGACTTGCATAGGTTATGTAACTTGCTTAAGTCAAAAGGCTGGTGAGTGATCATAGCTGGCATGTGAATCTCATCTCTCTGATTCCAGAAGATAGTTCTAACTTCTGTGCTCTATTCAGTTCTCATTGATAGAACTTAAGGGGCTTAATTAAAATTCAACACAATTTATGCTAGGGTTTTTAGTCTCTATAAACTGTCAAGTAAATTATAAATGTAACCAAGTATAACAGATAGGATAACTTGTTAGTGAAAAGGACTTTGTACCTGGGTCATTTAAGTAGAAGTACTTTATATTTGGGGAGTGGCTAATACAGTGAGGTGAAATTTTCTAGGGTGGACATACAGGCTTGATTATCATTTCTCACAGTGCTACACAGAATTGTGTCGGGGGATGCTTGCATAAGTGGTCCAGTTTATTATGCAGAGAGGGAGGGAGGGAGGGATGGAGAGAAGAAGATAGATAGATAGATAGATAGATAGATAGATAGATAGATAGATAGGTAGATAGAAAGATAGATATAGTTAATGGGAGCGGGCATAGGAGTGGTGATGGGTGGAGTCTTCTTTTTCTCAATCTATGTAGCTGATTGACTTCTCCCGGACAAGGCAGGAGGGAGTCCCACAGATATTTCCCTGAAATTCTAATACTGTTTCAACAACCTTTGAAGTTAATTCAGTTTCAGTCAAAGCTAGGCATGCCCGACCTAGTGCAAACGCTTGAATTTTGTACATATTTTCATATCCCAGTTATAAATAGCTGCCGAGGCTGTGTGAACTAGATAAAGAAGAATTTATTGAGCATTTAGCCTTTAAAAATGATTTTGTAAATTAAATGGTTGCTCTTCTCTTTATTTACAGGAAGCGGTATTGGTAAAAGATCCAAAGTAACCTTTGCTCTATCTTGCTTCTGCAAATGTAATGCCTTGAAATAAATTGATGTAGTAAAGGCGCTGTTGGGAGGAAGTGCCATTACATGTTTATGGTGGAAATGTATCAGAGCGCTTACTCAACAAACACCACGTGCAGCTCCATTTGCTCTTTCATTCTGGCCCACACCTGGTTATGGAGATGAAACCTGAGATTTATTGGTGGAGAAAATAGAAGTTGAATTAGAATACTTTACAGGTTAAAGTGATGGATTTTTTGGGAAAGGCTAATATGAATTACAGGGTGTTCCTTTTGCATTTGTGACTGAGTGAGAGTTGAAAAGTGTTAAATTATAGATTAACAGAATTTCCACAATGTTTTTAAGCAGAAACTTTGCAGTGTAAATTGCTTTGAAACTCCAAATCTATCAAGATATGCTCTCTCCTGTGGGGGAAAAGCAGCTGTTGTAATCATGGTCCACAGAGTTATCCAGATCATCTTGTGAAAAAGAAGATAATGACAAAGGAGTTTTGTAGTGTTCTCTCATTTTCAAAGAACTGTCATTTTTATTTTCTTACCTTTCCTTTTTATGTATTCACTTACTAGTATGTGTGATCATTTCTATATTTATTTCTTTTTTTAAAATCTTCACCCTAGGATATTTTTTTCATTAATTTTTAGAGAGAGTGGGAGGGGGAGAGACAGAGAGAGAAATATCGATGTGAGAGAGACCTATGGATTGGTTGCCTCCTGTAGGCACTCTGACCATGGCCAGGGCCAGAAAGGAGCCTGCAACCAAGGTTGTGCTGCCCTTGGCCAGAATCAAACCTGGGGCCCTTCTGTTCGCAGGCCAATGCTCTATCCACTGAACCAAACCAACTAGGTCCCTATATTTCTTTATTTAGGATTATGTCTCCAACACCTACAACAATGCTCTACAATAGTAAGTGCTCTGTGAATATTGGTGAGTAAATGAAGGAAGGAAAGAATAGATACAGAAATGCTACATGTCATTTTGTGATATTGGATCAAAGAGCATTTTCCCCTTACACCTATTTTTTACTTCCTTTCTCCAACTGGCAGTGCATATACTTGTGGTAGGTGGCTCTACTTTACCTAGCTTTCAACTGGGACATGAATTTATAGTGAGGTAAGCCACCAAGAACCTATCTAAGCTTTTTTCGTGGTAAGAGAGCCCAAAGAAAGAACAATTCTCTTCTCTCAGTTGCTATCTAGCCAGAGTTTAGATGCCCTGCAACTAAGAGTAATAATTTGCAGAGTACAGTCCTTATATTTTTATGTTTTCACCCCAAGGAGAAATGGAACATGTACTAAACAAATTAGCATTTAGGAACTAAAGAAGTATAGGCATCACTGATGTCTAGGAGCACTTTAACATGCTTTTCAGAAAATGGTTTGGCTTCTAGAAATATAGCAAAATAATAAAACTAAAAAATAATGGATTAAATATTTTTAAATACATGGACAATCCAACAGGTGAATTAGGAAAATTTGAGGTCAGGAAGATAAGAAGAGAGCTGAAATGCAGACTAGCAAGCCAGCACCAGCATTGTGCTGGGAGAGGTGGGGAATTCCTTTTTCATGATGGCCTGTGGCTTGAATTCTAAAGACCGTGAGGGCAGA